CCACCCGGCGCCTTTTCCTATTTTAGAGAAAAACCCTTATCTTCAACGTTAACCCCCCCAAACCCATTTCGAAATTTTTTAAAAGCCCCAGGCCTTTAAAAGGGATTTTTAGGTTTTTTAAAGTGGCATTTGTTAAACATCCGCCCCTTTTTAAAATGTTGTATTTTGATTTAAAAAAAGAAATGGGCTTAAAAAACAACCCAAACCCAAAGGGGCGTAAAAAAAAAAAAAAAAACGAACTGTAACTAAGTAGCCTGTGTACAGCCGCCCCTTCTCTCAAAAAAATCGGATTTTTTTGAGGGAAGGGGCGGCTGTACACAGGCCATACCTAAGTAGGGTGAACAGACAGTCTGTAGTTTTCTCATCACCTACCCCAGCCTGGCTGTCTATATTTCCCCCCTCGCTCCAAGTTTTTCGCTTGACCGCTGGCACTTTCTTGAACTACGGAAAAATATGGGCTATTTTGCAGTCTACATACTTAGATCCTGGGGTATTTTGTTCTGCTAAGAAAGAAAGAGTGCGGTCCAAAGTTTTCCTGTCTTGCTACAGGACAAGCCTGGGTCTTGGATTCCGAATTCGACGGACGTATAAATACGCATTTATCGCGAAGAATTTAAACCTTCTCAGAGGCAGAGCTTCCACAGCCCAGCAGGGACGAGGTTGGCTAAGACAGTCTTGGATTCCTGATTCCAGGTACTAGATACCGGATTTTTTTCGTCAGTCATTCAGCGGAACTTGGATTCCGGATTCCAGTCGATAGTGGGGTTCCGGATTCCTTGAGCTGTACTCCGGATTCCAATGCCCTGATTCAGGATTCCACAAGCAAAAATTTCCTGGATCTCGGAATCCGGATTCCCTTGGGTGCCTCTTAAAATATACTTTGAAACCTCTATTTGCGTTAAAGTTAAAAGCCAATTAATCCCTGAATAACTGGAAAACAACCATACAGAAAAAAAGGGCCGATTTGGTTGATAGAATCGGTATCGTTACAAACACTACACGAATTCGCTGAGAAAGAAGATCTAGTTTTGACTGAAGACTTTTGGCTAGACCTTAGGCTATTGTTTAAGAATATCTATTAATGCCTAATCTTATACTTAATTTGTAATTTCGGCGATAAAAAGTTATTACAGTAACATTTAATTAAAGGCTGGTTTCAATGTGATCGACGTAAAAAAAACACTGGAAAAAACAATAGGCAATAGTAGCGATTATATGGTAACCACTGTTAGTAATGAGAGAATTGACTTCTCTCTCACCGATCGCCCATATCGAAATGATATAGAATCACTTTCTAGCAATCATAGCGAGCATTGAGATGATTCGGTACGTTTATTCAAGTCGGTATAAAATCGCTTAGCTTTTTCTATACCGAATCGTAACGCTCAAGGCGATAATACTGCGTATATCAGCAGAAAAAACCCCTTCAGCAATCGTAGAACTCACAACGATGGCCGTCGATCAGCATGCATGGTCACTGACTGGCTGTAAAGTCCAATCTTACGGGCTAGTTTCGNGCAGAGCTTCCACAGCCCAGCAGGGACGAGGTTGGCTAAGACAGTCTTGGATTCCTGATTCCAGGTACTAGATACCGGATTTTTTTCGTCAGTCATTCAGCGGAACTTGGATTCCGGATTCCAGTCGATAGTGGGGTTCCGGATTCCTTGAGCTGTACTCCGGATTCCAATGCCCTGATTCAGGATTCCACAAGCAAAAATTTCCTGGATCTCGGAATCCGGATTCCCTTGGGTGCCTCTTAAAATATACTTTGAAACCTCTATTTGCGTTAAAGTTAAAAGCCAATTAATCCCTGAATAACTGGAAAACAACCATACAGAAAAAAAGGGCCGATTTGGTTGATAGAATCGGTATCGTTACAAACACTACACGAATTCGCTGAGAAAGAAGATCTAGTTTTGACTGAAGACTTTTGGCTAGACCTTAGGCTATTGTTTAAGAATATCTATTAATGCCTAATCTTATACTTAATTTGTAATTTCGGCGATAAAAAGTTATTACAGTAACATTTAATTAAAGGCTGGTTTCAATGTGATCGACGTAAAAAAAACACTGGAAAAAACAATAGGCAATAGTAGCGATTATATGGTAACCACTGTTAGTAATGAGAGAATTGACTTCTCTCTCACCGATCGCCCATATCGAAATGATATAGAATCACTTTCTAGCAATCATAGCGAGCATTGAGATGATTCGGTACGTTTATTCAAGTCGGTATAAAATCGCTTAGCTTTTTCTATACCGAATCGTAACGCTCAAGGCGATAATACTGCGTATATCAGCAGAAAAAACCCCTTCAGCAATCGTAGAACTCACAACGATGGCCGTCGATCAGCATGCATGGTCACTGACTGGCTGTAAAGTCCAATCTTACGGGCTAGTTTCGTGCAGATTCTTTCAAATAGAATCAACTCTGACTCAATCACTGGGAATCGTTACGATCGCTAGGCAACGGTCGTATCCATCGTTGCTCAAATGGGAACCAGTCTTAAGGGCATTATTAAGGAAAATCCTGTATAAGAGTCGAATTCGAAGTGACCTTTCAAACAATATTTGATTATCTTGGAATTAAGTGGACGTCAAGTTTAAGAAGCTGGTGATAATCCCGGTGATAACATGAAGGCCGGGTAATAGCTGCTTTTAGAGCCTTTTTTTAAATTTAATGTTTAATTCCACTGAGCGGTGTACGCGAGTTATATCCGTTAACATAGAAAAATCCAAGCAACGCAACATGCAATGAAAAGAAGATTTATTGTAAGAACTGAAATGAGTGAAAGATTTAGCGCTAACTTCCGCTGAAAAATCGAACTGGTTGACTTGTGGCCTGTTCCTTAGCTTGCAGCTTAGCAAGCGTTTCCGATCGCCAAGAAACAACACTGATTGTGGCAAAGTTGAAGCGAGATCTCTAGTCCGCAAATTTCTCGACCAACTCGCGCGGAAAGGCTTGCTACGCAAGGAAACGCTTTGCGAGACA